GGAAATCACAGCAACGACTTGGAAATCATTTCCTCAGCAAAATCAGATGAGTTAAGGAGATGAACAATTATTGTGTCAGTGTAGACTAAAGAAACAATATGTGGCTTCCGAAATAGTTCTTCCGGAAGTAAAAATGCATCTAATAGAAGAGGAAAATTGCTTCCAAGTATATGTCTTTACGTTCAGGGAGAAAGGTCAAAATAGTCCAAAATAGCTCTTCCGGAAATAAAAATGCATCTAATGGAAGAGGAAAGTTTATTCCACGTATATGTCTTTACGTTCAGGAAGAAACGTCAAAATATTTTTAAACCAAAAATGAAAACATTTCAATATCTGAAAGTATGATTTTTGGATATTAATACAACCTATTATTGATAAATAAGCTTTTAATTTTCATGCAGTTGAAATTTTGCAATATACAACTTATAATGTGGACGATAAGCAACCGTTTTTAGAATAAAAATACGGAGTATTTACTCGCTTATATGGAATATCAAAAGTATGTTTGTATTATACTATGTGCCATCCGGTAATCAGGCACTCAAATTATTCTTCAACCATTTTGAATTGCTTAAAATAACTTATGACTTATGCCATTTCTTCATAATCTATACTTTCAAAAATAGCACATCATATTTCGTACTTCTAAATTCAATCTCATGAGAAATTCTGTACAAACGTTAACAAAGAATCTCTCTCTGACAAGCTTTTAAATTTTCAACAAATCGGACACTTCTTCTGCAACCGTGAAATCACCCTCTCGTTTGACTATTAAGAATCTTGATAACAGTGAATGGAATCCCCAAGATAGTGAGGATTTGCCAAAGCTTGCTCCAAAACACAAAGTTGAAGAACCTACTATAGTCTACGAAGCACACAGAAGGGATTTACTATTAATCCAAGTTTTTTATTACAAACTTTTTTCTTATGTCATCCGACCTTCTCTAAGCTCAACTTAGACATGAAAAAGCTATTCGTTGCTTGTTTATTTCATGTCTTTTATAGTATTGTGTTTAAAAGCTCCTCGCTGATGGAGGAAACAAAACGAGTTGTTCTGCAGTGAAGGTAATTCATTTTAAGTCTAGTTTTCAGACAGGAATAAAATTATTAGTTTCAGCCTTTTCTTTGACCATTTAGTTATCTCACACATGGTGTTACATTATTTTGGCGTAATGTCAATCATGAGTTTCTTTCATCATTTCGGCAAGCTTTGGCAAATCCTACCTTATAAAGTTTATGCTATCAAACTACTCTAAAACCTTCATCGTAATAAGAAGTCTTTCTACCCAGCTATATATTTATAGATGCTGTGAAATCTGAACAAAGCATATCATGTTCTTCCACACGAGTGATTTTGGTGCTTGCTTTCCTGGAGTGGTACATATAAGTGTATAGTAATACTTCCATCGCCTTTGGGCTTCCTTTGGATTTATTACAAAGTCAACTTTTTAATTGCTAATAAAGTTAATCGTGGCTGATTTTTTCTATGTCATATGCAGTATTTATTCGAATGGGTTTGTTTATTAATTTCAACGTAATACTTTTTAAGCTTGGCTCGTTCTTATGTTTCTCGAGCTATCTCTAGATAATTGTCTTCTGATTCAAGATTGATCTTGGGCATTTGCTTTCCCAGTCTTTGTTTATCGATGACCTAAATATTGTTGTCCTTTAATTAACTATCTCTGTTTCTTCTTTGGTTACTATGCAAAAAGGTCTCGTTGGTCGCAGTTAAACCTGCTTATTTAAGAGAAATCCACTGTCCTTAGGGTTCTGGAAGCTTTCAAATTAAAAGGGGATTACCTTAAACATCTTCTATTGTTTAATATTTGAGTAAAATCTTAGAATATGATTCAAACTTTATCACCTTGTATTTAGCTTTATGGTGGCCATGATTAAATGATATATAAAGCTAAGCTATAATTTTCCTGGATAAACTCAAATTTCTTTAACGTTTGATATCTAGTTTATTCATTATAATGTTTAAGTTGTCAAATTATGGTGCTTGAAAAATATGAATTAGCCACTCTTTTCTCTGAAATTGTATTTCTAAGACTACATCTATATCCATCACATATTTTATCACAATTGTATCTATTTCCTTCAGATTTTTTCATTTCGATGAATGTGCATTGTCTGTTGCACGAATTGATTGCTTCTTCGAAATAGTCTTAGAAGCCTAAGCCTTCTAATTCTTCTTATTGTTTTGTTAAGGCAAGTGCATGAATTTATATAAGAGAAATAGAAGACTGCTTTGGTTTGAATTGTCACAAAGAGAGTTCTTTGAATCCATTTATTTCTAGCTAAGACATGGTTCTACAATAGTCTTTTCTGAAATGAAATAACCAACGCCATGTTCTTGGTCACACTTAAGTCTAGAGAACCTCTTGTTGCTTCCATCCACTAGCACCTGTTCGGTGGGTTTTAGAGATGCCTGTAATATGGTATCCATATTAATCTAGTTTATGGAAAACCTCTTGTTGTTTCCATTTACCAGTACCTGTTTAGTGGGTTTTAGATATGCCTGTAACATGGTACTCGTATTGATTTATTTCATTTGTTTAAATTTCCTTACTACAATCCTCAGTTGTTATCCTAATACATTACAATCACATTTGTTTGATGAATCTTGATTAGTTGTTTACTTGCGGATTGTTGTGTCCTAAGAGGACACAGTGATATTGTTTTGTGTCACGGTATTCAGATGGTCACATGATACATTAAAAGACTTACCACAACACTATGCCTTCCGAACTAACGTCTGTACTGCTCATGCCCATACTGCTATTCTGGAACTTCGAATTTAAAAGTAGCCCCAGAGCTATCTTCATTTACAACAGAAAGGCCGTGTCTCCGAGCTTCATCTACTCACTCTACAAAACTTTACCGACTGATATTTACTGCTACACAGACGTATGGCAGCACCACAGTTTAATTACCAATAAAGTAAGTTTCGTCCATTCTTTTCCGAAAGATTTTCTCTGTGATATTGAGATTATGTTTCAATATATTACGCACTGTATATATGAAACTTCTTCCCTTAGGATTTTGTATAACATCAAATGTAAGAATAGTTATGTTTCGCGGTGACTTATTAGTATAAGCAAGACAGAACTGAAAATTATTTTAAGGATGTTTATAATAAATGCTCGTTTTAAGCACGTGTCTCTTTTACCGAAATAATTTTGATAAATCCAAAATGAATTTGAAGAGGAATTATTTCACGCACAAACATAAAATCAATAGGATAAATAAATATTATATGAATAAATAAATAAATGTTATTTTTCTGGCAAAATGTTAGCTATTAAAGAAATCGCCTCAAACTTCTAGAACATATTTATTTTATTGAGTTTATTTGTTTGTTGTTAATCACAAAGCTCCACAATACGTATACGTGCTCTAACAACCTCGGCTATCGAAACCCAATTTTTCGTGTTATAAGTCGTCAGACGTGCAGCTGAGCTACAGTGGGGCATTTCATTGAGAACTTTAAAAAGTCAGTTTTATTTTTAAGGCAGTTTAAATATTTTATAACATATTTGATAACATGTTTTGTAACATATCAATTTAAAAATGAGTTTATAATGCCTCTTTTCTTCGATAAGATAGTTATTTAATCTGGCATATTATGAAACAGACAAAACTTAACACCATCTAATTATTCGTAGCCTATCCTCTTTAATCGTCCACAGGCGACTTAACAAATCCCGGTAAATGTAATCGAACACAAGGCTGAAATTAGTCAGTGTCACTTTTCAACGCTTGATAAATTGTTATGTTACAAAATCGTACATATGCATACTTCATATACGTGTGTGTGTAATATGAGAGAAAGACAAATTTCTATTGGCTGTTAAAACATGCATTAACGTGAACAAAAGGTTTAACGAGATCAAAGAGTACATTGTAAACTGAAGTGATTATACATCCAATTTATAGGATGGTGAAGAACTGGTAATTTGTCAAGAAATGTGTTCCACATATGTTTAATTTTCTTTTTGGCGGTATTCGTTTTCTTCACTTTACTCTTCTTTTTTTGGCCATGCTATGCATTTAATGTTTCTATCTGAAGCTTTGAGTTGATAACTTTTCTATGTCAGATATATTTCAGTTACCTTTTCGCAAAATCTGCGGAACTTTTCTACTTCTCATATCAAACATATAAATAAATATTTATTTAACACTGGTTTAGGGTATTCGTATCTAATGTATCTAATAGTATCGAGTGGAGAAAGGGGACATCATTGATATTAAAAAGTAAAACATTAATAATAGAACAAAGATTGTTAATAAGATTAGTTGTTAAAATATTATTTGTGTTACAGAGAGCATATTTATTGAGGAAATTAGAATAAACCGTTGCACTAACACGAGAAAACACAACCTGTCTAAATGTTGTAGGTAAATAAAACTTGTCTAACTTAGTGCTTTGCCATTCATTTCTTTCACATATTTCTAAGGAGGATATTTTTCATAAGTCAGTTTATAAAATATGTTATAATTATAAATATGTAGAGTGTTAAATTTTGAGCAAATTACATATTAAGTTAAAGAAAGAAAACGACAAGCAAGCTAGAATTTGAAAGGTAAATTCTTACCCAAAATATTGTGCATTAGAATCTCCCAAATGATTTTTAGATATCTCACTCATTTCCTTATTGTAATTAATATTGAAAAGTTTGTCCGCACAATTTGAAATTGTAAAGCAACAGTTATTAAGACAAATTTGAATTTGAAAAACAAAAGCTATGTTAATCCAGTATGGTTATAAATTTCTCAAAAACCTATGAAGTGGTGAAACGTATTAAAATATTTTCAATTATTTAAATTCTTATTTGTGGCGTGAATGATTTATAGTACTGAAAGAAGTGTATTCAAAGTAACGTTTAATTACTTTGTTGTTGTTTTTTTCTAACATCGAGTTTGTATATTAAATCATTTGTTGTTGCAAAACTTTCAAACTATTGTATTGTTTTGATTGGTTTTGTTTCATTTTACAGCCAGTTAGGATGCTCAAGATGTGTTGTGATCTACGAGAAACATCCCAATGTCCTACAGTACAGAGAGAGTAAGTCAATTTCCATTTCCATGTTACATTGTAAATACACTTCAATCTCTATCTTTTTCGTTTGTTTTGTCTGTTACGAAATGAACAAAGAAAGTTGTTTCGTAATCGTATACTCCCATAAAGCTTAAATAATTAGCACTGATAGAATAAGTATTGACCAGTAACAATTTTCAGAGTAGTAACCGCCGATCAAACAGTTAAATGATTGATGTAATAATTCTGTTTGAGCGCTAGTACCATTACAATTTTTCTTTGTGTGTTCCAGTAAATATACAAATTAGAAATGACTACGGTAACTGTAAATTATTTAATAAGAAAGAAATACAGGAATGTTGAATAAAATATAAAATTCACAGTTGTTAGTCCATGTTACAAGTATATGAAAACCAGTTTTGCTTTAAGCACAAGTATTACATTTCATATCATATTCAATCGGATATAAACTTCCATTCTAACAAAACTGAATTTGAAATAATAAATAAAAATCCAATTTCAAACACTCCAAAGTGATTGTTCAACATGCGTGAAAGTATTATAAACCAGAAAAGGAAAATCGAATAATTGAAGAATTAGAACCGATTGGCATGATAGTTTTGTTTTTATGATTTTGGTTTTGTTCACTATTCTGTTTTATATAATAAATTCACGCAATTTTATTAAAGGGCAATGAAACCTACGTTAGTGTTTTCACATCTAATTGATGAGATAATTTTTCAAGCTTTATTACCGGTAGAAAACGCTGTTATACGTTGTTCCTGGTATGCATGTATTTGATGCCCTTTCCAATCATTATTTATATTTACTAGGCCATTTATTTTATTGCTAAAGGATTCAATGAAATGTATTGTGTCACGTCTTAGCTCCTCAAGGATAAAATAGTTTAAAATTATTTATATTTACTAGACAATTTATTTTGTTGTTAAAAGATGATGTGGATTCTAGCTTAAAGGATTAAAGGAAAAATATTGTGTGACGTCTTAGTTTCTCAAGGACAAAATAGTTAAAAATTATTTATATTTGCTAGACAATTTATTTTGTTGTTAAAATATGATGTGAATTACAACTTAAAGGATTCAAGGAAAATATTTTTCCACGTCTCAGATCCTCAAGGATTAAGTAGTTTAAAAAGTACTGATTTTAAAGACTGACCTTGTTTTCTTCAACTGTAATTTTAATTGGGGTACATGCCCAAAATAGCATATCAGTTTTTGTTGTAACAAGAGCAAATTACAGGCTTTATTTTAGCCACACCTATTCCCAATTGACTTATACTACTTACTGACTAAAAAATGAAATGTCAAAAAGACCGTGGCTCGTGATAAATGGTTATGTTACAAACTCGTAGTTATCAGTTGTATGAGTTTGTGAAGGTTTTATCCTGTCGTTAAACGAGGCGTGTAACGCTCTGAAATAGATTATTACGAGTTGAAAAGCTTGCCATGTACTTACATGTTTTCTTCTAATTTGACATATATAAATATATTATTATTATTATCACTCCACCTTTTGTCTCTAAACTGAAGTATTATAATTTTATCGTTTCAACTTTATCAAATATACTTTAGTATATAAACATTTCCTTATGTTAATAATCAAACTAAGACTCATAATTAGGTAAGCAATACATTTTTTATCTGTCTAAAAGAAGAGTGACAGCGCCAATATAACGTTTTTTCTTAGATTAAAGTTTTAGATTTATAATTAGCTAATCATGAAACACTGAGTTTTCGACAGAAGCAAACGTAAAATGATAAAATCATAACTAATATTGTATCGTGGTATCTCTATTCTCAATGTTGTGAAAGAGTAATATGTGAAAAACTATCTACAGGTGATAATAATGGACTATACAGATTTTGTCGTTTAAATCGTAACTTTTAAAACATTTGAGTTTGTGATTTTAACTTTAAAGGTTCGATTGACATGTAATCAAAGAACAAATTTCAAATTATTTTCTAAATATTGATCTATTTTAATTTAAGTAATGCATGCTAAGAAAAAAAAACACTGCTGACTACTTATATACACTATATTACGTTTCTAACCCAGCTCAACAAATTTAAACTCTAGTATGTTTAAATAGAAAATTGCTTAAAGAAAGTGAATGCAGTGCATCCCACACCACTTGGATAGTTTTATTTTTTCAGTGTTTGTAAAAATATTGGTCTGTGCATATCCTCGCTGTAAGAATTGTTGTTTGACGGTAATTTTTGTCTCTTTACAGCTTTCTGCGAAAAGCATCAGAATCTGGATGAGGCATGCGCAAAATTAAGCGTTGATGCTCATCTACATTCCATGTTTAGAGGTAAATCTGTCCTATATTTTTTATATAACTTTCAAAGAATAAGAAGAAATCTCAACCTAACTTATTATTAAATACTGTTTTTACCAAACATACTACTTGGAAAGCTATTGTATCGCAAACTTTATGTGCAACAATGAGCAACCACTAATATTCTCTATTTTATCTAAGTGTTGTGTTTTTCTAGAACAAATAGTTGTTTTTGTTGAATTACAATTCAAGATTATGAAAAAGAACTACAATTAAATGGATTATATAACTAGATTATACTGAATGTGATCTTAAGCGGATACACAAAGTATGAAGGAATTGTGTTTACTGCCAGAACGAGCATTACTATGCATTTATGTAACATTAACCTGGAAGCATATGGAAAATCCTCCAGAGATTTAATGCTTCTGCATTAACTTCTCTTATTGTCCGGTTCCATTAGTTGGAACCCTTCACAAGTAATGCTCTTTTGTTTTCAGGGTTGTATAATATAGTATCGTGACTATAACAAACTCCATTAAGAGATAAGCTTGAAAGACTTACAGCTGTATTTCTCGTTCTTCTCTGATGGGATGCACATTGCACCTTAAAGAAATGGGAAGAAAATCTTACCTTATGGCAATGATAGCATGGCTGATCCTCGCAAGCCGTTGGAGGTATTATCTGCATCGAAAACAAAATAAAACAAAAAAATCCATCACGAAATCTCAATGAACTAATGCATTACAAACGATCTACGAACTACACTGAAACGAACTGTTGATATAACTTCAAACGTAGCTATCTTTATTATTCTATATATTTCTCGGATTTTAGATATATTGAAGTAAAACCATTTAGAAATTTAAATGGACTATTAAAAAACATCTAAACCTCAATGACGAAGAAACACTGAAAGAGTAAGTCTACTATATAACACTGAATTCTATTAGGCAGTCAGACAAAGAGCAGACTTATGTTTATAAGTTTGAGATAAATTTCAGGTTTAATCTTATAGGTGCAATTCCTTATATAAACCCTTATTAAAAAAATCAGAATAATCCGATTCTAAAGGACAAACTAGAAAAAATATTGGGATTCAAACTGTAAAAAGATTTTGTCGTTTATTACAATTAGTATAATTCCATTCAGGTTTTATAAAATTATATTTCTTTGAAATTAATTTTAAAATGAGCTTAATATTAATAAATTAGGCCCGGCAATCTTTCAGCCGTGGGGGCGTTATAATGTGACGATCAATACCACTATTCATTGGTAAAAGAGTAGCCCAAGAGTTGGCGATGGGAGGTGATGGGTCTTACACTGCTAAATTAGGGACGACTAGCGCAGATAGCTCTCGTGTAGCTTTGAGCGAAATTCAAAAACAAACAAACAAATTAATAATTTAAAATGCTGAAACTTTGATAAATCCCGTTGGCGTTTCAAAAATATATATATATACTTGGAAATGCTACAATATAACATGCTTTATTCATACAATCTCAAAAACATGGTGGCAGAATAATCAATTTATTAAAACTGGATTTTATTTATTCGGATGTGTCTTACAAAGGGTCAAACATGACTAAATAATAATAATGTATATAAATAATAATATTTATCCAAAAGACAATCTTGACGCCGTCAGATTTGGGCATGAGGTATGGAAATATATTCTGTAACATTATGGATAACACTAAAAGTGATAGGATTTATTCATATTTATCTAAATCAATTGTCAAAGGGTGTCAGAAAGTGGTAGTAAATGCATATGTGGTATGAAAACACGTTGGATGCTGGAAGAGGACCGTAGGCTTTTGTCGGTTGTGGGGTGTAAAAAGAAAACTCCGATCAGTTTCAAACTTTAATAAGAACATCGCAAACAACAGTTGGGCAAATGTTCGAGCTAGCCCTTCAGATCTGTCTTCACGAAGCTGGAGAAGGCGCAGATTACACTCCATCAGAAATAATAAATAGGATTGCGAGCAAACGTTTGTCTGGACTGTGGAGATAAGGATTCCAGAGAGTTCAAATAAAGCGGAATTATTCTGATGAACTGTTAAATATGACTGAAGTTCCCAGAACACATTCATGAAGAGAGATAAAAGAAGGTTGTTTTATGCGTAGGCAGTTCTGGAGATGAATGGATTAAAATATCAGTTTGTTAATCGATGATCGTATATAGCAGGTTCGTATTCGACACGTAAAACAAAACCGTCGTCGGTAACAAGAGGCTATTTCTAGAAATATATAATAGCAATAGTGTTCAACCATTCCCGTGTTAATGCTGGTTTCTGCCCACTCATGTAACTAGCATTTTCTAAAAATTGTAAAAATCCATCAAAAAATATTTTTGGTATAAGTCGAGGAATTAATTTTGTTTAAGAATGTGTTCAATGCCACTTTGGTTTAAATTATGAGACAAAACTGTTACAAACCAATTACTTTTTCAGTTGAATAAGATCTTGCTATACAGATAATTGCAAACTAATGAAAAAAATCAATGTTAATGGCTAAGTAAGATCATTAGAACTGTAGAGGTTGAACTATATACTAACCGTAAACATTAATTCTCGAACATGGACTGTTAGCATTAAATAAACAAAAATAATGAAGAACATGAATCTTTTTCAATATATTAAAGACAATCTAAAGTTTCAGATCATTATATTTTATAACATCTTTGTTTGAAGTTAAGTACAAAGCAATACAATGGGCTCTGCTTTGCAAGACCGCGGACAGTACCGCTGTGCCACTGCGGGGCTTATAACATCTAACGACTTATTAAACGTATTCAACTTCAAGCCTATACTTTGAGAATATGATGATATTTAACCTCCGGTCAATGCACTTGGTCTAGAATTGATTTTTGGTGAGCTTCAAAGCGATGCACTCGGTCTAGAATTGAATTTTGTTGAGCTTAAATTCAATGCTCTTGGTCTAGAATTGAATTTTGTTGAGCTTAAATTCAATGCTCTTGGTCTAGAATTGAATTTTGTTGAGCTTCAAACGATGCATTTTGTCTATATTATGAATGATAAGCAACCTGAAAATCACAAAGTTTATTTTATAACATGAACGACAACTAATTTTTTTGCCCATACACTTATTTTAGAACATGATGATACTTATCTCTATTCAGCCTATAACATTCAGCTTCATCAGGCACACTTAGCCTAAAAAGCGGATAACCTAGAAACATTTTATTTGGTTCGAAGACTTCACAACACATCTCTGTCCTTACGACATTGAAAATCTTATTGACGTCAGCAGAGTGTGTGTTCTGAACACATATACGTTACGTGAGAAAGAACAAACAACCAGAAAGATACCATGGCTTCAAAGTATTACATACTTCATTATTGAAATATTTTATATTTTTGTGAACAATTTTCAATTTTTAAAAATTCTATCATTTCTGGAAATATGCCTCTTCTCATAATATATATATATTACTAAAATTGTAAATATTTCAAGACAAACTAGGAACCCAGCTGATACAAGCTAGTTGACTGAATACCTGTTTCAACAATACAAATATATTACAGTGTTTTTTCAACTTGCATTAACTTACTATAGCATTATTCGCCCATTTAAAAAGAAAGTTGATCAGTGTACTTGATAGTTGTTATTTTTCTACTCAAAATACAATATTAATAATATTTACTGCACAGAAACGATGTCCCGCAGTGGCTCAGCGGCAAGTCTGCGGACTCATATCGCTAATCCCGCAGTGGCTCAGCGGCAAGTCTGCGGACTCATATCGCTAAAAACCGGGTTTACAATACTCGTGTAGGCCATTGTGTAGTTCTGCACTTAACATGAAACACAAAAAAATACTCTAAAACGATGATTTTGTTGTCTTGTAAGACAGTAATGACAATAATTGAAACAAATGATAAAAAGCTTTATTTTGCTTGACAAAAATCTTTATTTTTAAATTCGTATGGTAAGTTTACGGACTTACAACATTTAAAATCCACGGTTTGCATCCACATGCTGGACAGAATTCAGACAGCCCATTGTGTAGTTTTGTAATAAGAAAACAAGATCTGACTGTTGGTATATGTCAAATGTTTTAGGCAAAATAAACTAAATGAGAAATTAGAGTCATCGTGACGTGTGAATGTTGTTGTTTTTTAATACTGGTAAAAGGTTATTTTGTTTTGAGTAGATTTACTGTGATTGGTTGTTGATGTATTTTAATGTCTGGTTGTTTTATTTGTCACGCTTTTTACAACATTATACTTTTATCTCTCTGGTTGATGCTTCTAAAATAATTTATTTATTTCTAAGTTTTCAACTGTTCTTTTTCTATGTTTTACACCATCTCAACTGACACTTATTTTAACTGTTTCCTATTTTTTTCATATTTGTCTACCCAGTTGATGCTGCTCCTGTTTCCTGTCCTTTCAAAGGACCTTTCACCTTTACCTATAGCCGTGGTCATGGAGAGTGCAACTATCCAGTGTCCACGATCGACTCCTGCACCGATAACTCCAAACTTTTATTCCGGTTTCAGGCTTGCGTGGATGTGATTAAATCGGAGAGTAGTGGTAAGCCTGTTCAACTGATTCTTCACACGTAAGCCAAATGTCAGGAGTAGAAATTATATCAGAAACTTTTGATATAATAGTAGTTTCTCAGACCGTTCCTGCAATGTGAAAACAAGCGTTATAGAGTGCCTTGTTTCAAGAGTGAACAAGATTACGTCAATTTATTTGTTGACATTAAGTATCAGGATTAAGAATTATATGGGAAAATTTAGATACAATTATAGTCTGGTTCACTCAGAAGAAAAAATTAGACAGATAAAATTAGTGAAACTTCGAAATATAAAATATAAAATTACTGATCATACAGTAATAACAAAACGTACTAAAACAACATAATATAGAGTCGTTAGTTCAAAAAGGTTTTATAAAACAAAACAGAGAGCAACTACTATGTTGCAATATGAATAAGTACTTACCATACGGTTTTGGAGTCCGAATCACAAGCCTAACAGAGAGCCTAAAAACAACCAACTCCTCAAGAAACACCAGAAAGAACTTGGAATGGAAAGGTTCAAACAATTAACAATACAACCTCTATGATTTACCCGAAATTCACAAACACTCCCTTCGTTTCATAGCAAAGGTTCACCATTTCACCTCTTAGTAAGACATCGTGCAGATATAATATATTTAACAAGTAAAACACCTTCACACTTTAAGAACTCAGTTCGCTTTGCAGAGACAATAAAAGCCACCAGGATAACCTCAAAAGGCACAATGATCAGCCGTGGCCTATCCAACCTTTTCATTAATATTATTTTCCATGGCACACTATAAATAATTCACCAACAGTTGCAAAATGATATAAATCCTAAAGAACGCACCCAAGAGACAATCTCCCCGAGACAACCTTCTGTATCAACACAGCCTACTTCCAACATAAAGGTAAATACTACCAACAATAAGAAGTCCAAACCGTGGGCTCACCTCCACCATCAAAACTCTATAACCTTTATATGTAATATTTCGAAGTTAATACCCTCAAAACATCTGTTTTGCGTTTCGGGATTTGGCTTAGATATGTTGACGATGCAAGTTAACACCTTCACAACATCTTTTTTGCATCTCAGGCTTTGGCTTAGATATGTTGACGATGCAAGTTAACACCTTCAAAACATTTGTTTTGCGTCTCGGGATTTGGCTTAAATATGTTGCCGATGCAAGTTAATATCCTCAAAACATTTGTCTTGCGTCTCAGGACTTGGCTTAGGTGTGTTGACGATGCACTCGTAATATGGCCACACATTACAAATAACATTCGAGAATTCACAAATCACCTGAACGGACAATATCCCACGATATAATTCAAAACCGAAATAGGAAAAAAAGATAACAAATTCCTCTTCCAAGACACATAACTGATAATGGATAATACCTCAATTATAAATGAAACCTCCCAACAATGTTAAAACAAGCGGCATAGAGTACCTAACTTCGAGAATGAACAGGATTTGTAACACCAAGGAAACTAAGCAGCAGAAAAATAAAATCAGTAAAAATTTCCTTAACAATTCGTAACATTAAACAAACATGTAACTTAAAAATATCAAATAAGGACTAAAACAAGAAAGCTTCCGAAAGGTGGACTTTTCTTCTTCAGGGACAATCTTAGCAATTGATACCAGGAACACTTGATAAGAAATAAAATAAATAGGAAAACCAGAACAAACAGGAATGAAACTACAGCTACAGAGCCATATTCCCTTATGTTGGAGGTTTCTCTCTGAAAATACAGAGAGCATATATGTAAAAAAAAAAAAAAAAAAATAATCAGGAGAATATTCAGAAGATACAACACGATGCGGTTGTAGGTAATTCATACTAAACCACATAAACATCCAATTGAGAGAAAAACACAACTTACAATATCCCTTGTGAGTGTGAATTCTAATACAATAGTTACAATTTGGGAACACAATAGACATATATGATTCGGCAATATCGATCTGTCTGTAATAGCCTGTCGTATCAAAGAAGACTATAGCATAGATTAAAATAATAGGATATGAACCACACAAGAGAAAAATAAAAATAAAATCAGCCTTCTTCATCCATAGTTAACCTAGAATAGAAGTCAACCAAATCTGGATACCCTCTTGAAAATATTCATACAATTCATTCATGTTAGAAGGGGGGGACTCAATCAAGTGTAAAATGCACCAGATACATTAATCAAACAAAAATCAGGATTCAATCTCGGTCATTACCCTCACAGACATAGTCTTTCGCAGGACTTCCATGAAGGCAGCAGGAGATTAGAATCCAAAATGTAGGATAAAGCCAGATAATAATTAGTATCTAGCTATATAAACAAAATTAGTTACTAATTATTTGTTAGACTTAGGCGATCATATAGCCACCTAACACCGTGACAACAATTCCATTATGAGTGTAGGAATAAGGTAGTAAAAAAGTCAATTATACACATAAAAAACGTAGTTTTAATTCTTTTTATGATTGATTTATTTGTAGAAGAAGAACTGACATGTGTAGCGACGTGGAAGGAAGGTTCATCTCATTATCTGGTAGGGAAAATGATCAAAAAGAAAAAACACAGGATCTCTTACAAGGACGAAGACACTTACCGATGTTTTGTACGTTCGTGTTTGTAATTTTATTTGACTTTATTAAAATCTACTTACAACATTACCTGTAGCTATATAGGATTATGAAAACATTCATGCTAACAATATATATATATATGTTATCTTTCCATTATCTAAATGACTATATAATCATCCATTGGGATTTCACAAACATAAGTTGGAGACTAAAGGCATATTTATGGTGCAACATTTTTTTTCAGGGAGGCAAGGATCATACGAACTTGTTTTTTTAAAAAAAACATGATCCATTCTGACCAAAATGATTTCCATTAACCTAAAACAATATCAGTTTCAGTTTTCATTTTAAGTCATCTTGATTTTCAGCAACTTATTAATTAATATTATTTTTTTAACTTTAATTCTCAAGTGAAAACGCCAACCAATCAATCTTGAAAAAAATGGATATTTTTATTATGTTATTCACATCTGACGAAACAATCTGTTCACTTGGAAAATTATATTTCACTCTTGAAAGATGGTAAATTAATCTGATTTCAAAGGGAATGAAACCAGTAATTTGTTGCTATCATTGGTGCGTGAATAGCGTATTTTCATACACCGTTGTAAGCCTGTAGACCTACCGCTGTTCCATCAAAGGGTTGTTTTCTTTTGAATTTCGTCCAAAGTTACACGAGGGCTATCTTCGCTAGCTGACCCTAATTTAGCAGTGAAAGATTAGTCATCACCACCCACTGCTAACTCTTGGGCTACTCTATTTACCAACGAATAGTGAGATTGACCGTACATTATAGCGCCCCCACGGCTGAAAGGTCCAAAGTGATAAATGTTCGAATAGACTATTTAGGACTATTAAGTTTTAAAGTCCTACGTACTCGTTTAAAGTGTATTCATTCCTAAGACTAATCTCCAAGTGGATGATTTATTTATCCTCAAATTGTTAAATAATATCCTGTAACCGATTCTTGAGCATTCGTGTAATTAGCTGTTTATTATGTCTATGAAAATTAAGTAATTAGCACAAAATTAATATTAGAATACTATGCCTCATTGATAGTATTTAAAGTTTTGTATTTAAACATGTTAGGCTTAGCATGGCCTAATGGTTAGGGAGCTTGATTCGCAGACTGCGGGTCGCGGGTTTGAATCCTCGTCGATGAACATGCTCACCCCTTCAACTGTGGGAGTTTTATAATGTGACAGTCAATCCAACTATTCTTTAGTAAAAAAAGTGTCGCAAGAGTTGGCGGCGGGTGGTGTTGACTAGCTGCCTTCCCTTTAGTTTTTTATTGGTAAATTAGGGACCGCTACAATGTCAAACTCTGCCTGAGAATCACTGATGATGCATCAACAACTAAGGTGGCCCGACAATAGTATGCGGTCTTGGGGCTAAAAAAAACAAACTAGTTTTACTTTAGCTAAAAAGCATAGAAGCGTTTAATAGTGAAATTGTCAATGATATAAATAATAAATGCTATAATATACGTGTTTTAATAAAACAAACAGACTTTATATTATCTACAAATAATGTTAATGACACAATTTAATATACAAATACTGATAAAAGATTAGAATTATCGTCAAGAGCCTTGCGACAGATTGCGCGCTGGTGCCACAAGTTTTTTAACGATATGTCAGTATCTCACATCTGGAGGGTGTTAATACGTATGAAACATATCAGTGTTTATTCAAATATAAAATGATAAGAAAAACATTTATGTTCCTAAGATCATCGCTGCCTCAAAAATAGTATTTTTTTCTATTACATGTTTAGTGGCGTTACGTTTACTCACCATGTGTTTTCTGATGATACGAGAATATTACATCACAAGTATGCACGAACTTACACTTCAGACAAATGTCTAATTAAGTGAAGTAATATGAGATGAACGTATATCTGTTCCCAGAGGCGTAAAAGAGTACCGTTTTGTTTTTACTAGATTTACGACAGTCTTCCAGACAGCTTCCTTCTGTCTCAGTCAGCTGATGCCACGTGTGACGGCCTTGTTTCACCAAGGGAGGGCTATCGGACTATGCACCTTAGAAAGAGTATGGTGTTCTAAGTTCTCAAAAAGTAATGACCATAACTGAATAAATACTAGTTCAATGATTACTCGGATAGATCCCGATTTTCTTGCTAAGACTATTAGGTACAGCAATACAAAGACATGTTGTTCAGTTTGTATGCATGTTTTACAAGTTCGTTTAATTCTATTTTCAAGTTATTAAATACCAATGTTGTTGTAATGCTATTTACACTGGTTTGAAACTTCATCAACTCATTATATAGAGAGCAGTGTAAATTTTTTAAATTTGATTTTCATCTTTAAAATCCAGTGCTATTGATGATGATCATTTACAACTACTACTTGCTGTTTTGTAGTTTTGGCATTTGTCCACATTGTTTAGAATTGGTATTCTTTTTGTTGCTTATGTTTTTATTTTGACATATTTTTTCTTTTTTGCAGGCAAACACCCTTATATAGAATGTCAATTTCCTGGTTGGGTCACTGCTCATCAGCATTGGCATACCCTAGACAACAGTAAGTCCTATATATTCAGCCAATGGAATTCTAGTTTCCGCATTAGCCATAGTGATCTTGGTTATCAGGACACGAAAGTAACCTGTACCAAAGAGGTTATCAACACAATGAATACGACAGTAGTGGTGGCATACAGTACATCAGGATGGTAAGTCGGATTAAACCATAAGAAAGAAAACATATAAATTTAGTACATCAGGATGGTAAGTCGGATTAAGCCATAAGAAAGAAAACATAGAAATTTAGTACATCAGGATGGTAAGTCGGATTAAGCCATAAGAAAGAAAACATAGAAACTTAGTACATCAGAATGGTAAGTCTGATTAAGCCACAAAAAAGATGACAGAGAGACTTAGTACATCAGGATGGTAAGTCGGATCAAGCCATAAGAAAGAAAACATAGAAACTTAATACTTAGGATCATAAGTCGGATTAAGCCATAAGAAAGAAAACAGAGAAACTTAAATAGATAGCACTTCTTTTATTGTCAAGTAGGAACTAAAATTTCGTATAAAACTTTTCGAACAGTTGTATAGTTTTACGTTTTTATTCCAGATATATTTTCAATGGTATTTACTAACTTACCTTTTACATTATGTACGTTAACCTATAGGTAAGTAACTGCTTCATTTCATTAACAGTCGAACAAAATCTTGAGAAAATCTATTTTAGTGATTATTTAGTTAATATACAACAGTTTACTGGTTTAGAACTGAAGCGAGGCCTTTTTTTTTACTTACACCTAACACATTTTCACCAGTTACATATATGAATGTGGTCAAAACCCGTTTTTTAATGACTTTCTTTCTTGAATAAATTAGAGATTTCACGAAAAATTAGAAAATCCATATATACTCATCATTATTCCTAGAAGTAATCATTATTTATTAAGTACGATATTTCGTGAAATAAGTGGAAAAAAATGATATTCGTAAATATCCAAGTTTAAGTCTGCAGGTGTTCTCTTCATAATATTAAATATCATTGACTGAAAGCAGATAAATGTAACGCAACAGAAAAATGTGTTTGAGACTTAGATAAAAACAGGGTGACTATAAATTACTTTATTGATTGAAAATAATTAGAACTATATAAGATAAACAATTGTAGTTTGTGGTATAATGGAGGCTCACACATCAGGTTTGTTCACGGCCAGTAGCACTATTAGTAAACACCGACATATACCCCATTCGTGACTCGAAGGATGTCTAGGTGATAATCGATCTTCGCCAACATACGTACCAGCATCTCCGTAGTACTCGTCATAAATACGTTGGTTATTCGGACCCTCAAATTCGTCATATGCTGTGTTATCGTCTAATAGACAATGAAGTATTGTTTTTTTCAACCCGTCAGATTTCAGTGTGTTACATAACACAAACCGAAACTGTTTATCTGATAGGGTTCCTAGTCTATTGAATTGTAAAAGTGATTCAATAGTTTATGGACATGCTGTAGAAAGAGCACATTATTCCAGTATACATACACGTTATGAAGCCCTGCTTTTGTAGCAGCAACAACACGTACGCACTTAGCTTACAATAGTTGCTATATTTATATATTACGTTAGAGAAACACTGGACTCCAAATGTGTCCTATACTTCTCGGTTACAATTTTATTTCAACTGCATCCTGCTAGGCTGCTTTTTGACGTATTTTGTATAAAATAGCAATGTTTTATAAGTTAGAGCTTATTTTCATTCAATAAATTTGATTGGCAGAGGTTGAATAATATTATATCGGTCGAAAGTAAGGTGATCATTCCTTATTTGTATAAGCTTTTGTTAAGGAATCGTGAACAAATTACAAACTTTGTACAGTTTAAAGAATGAAAAGAAAAAGTTTATTTGAATCTAAATGCTTCATTTAATGAGAACCGAAGCAACTCAGTATAGATTAGCAAGAGATATTGTATTTTAGGGTCTATTTTGTTTTGCTAAACAAAGGTTACAAGCGCTAGCCTCCTTAACTTTGAACTAGAGGGATAGTAGTTAGTCAACAGCACACAGGCCAATTTTTGGGCTATTGCAATAAAATACTAGGATTTTACAGTCACACTTATAACGCACTCAAAGCCTGAAAGTACAAAGCGAGCTTTTTTTTTTTATTGTGGCAACGACGCCATGCGAGGACTGTTAGATCGACAGTCCGACAAATTATGCACCATCTACCATTATAGAGAATTATATATATAGTCACTACCAGATGGCAGCACAGAAAACACGGTCCTTGTTTACTTCCGGTATTCATGACGCCATTCTCAATGAGAAAGCACAGTTAATTCGAACAACATGTTGAATTATGTCACATTATTAATTTTATAAATGTTAATATTATTATTTCACATGAACGTACTTATACGTCTGAAAGGTATCAGGCATATCCTATGACAATGTAAAGGATGGTACTGGCCTTCTTGTACGGCTATGAAACAGGATATGCTTATATGATGGCATGTTTCGCTTTAAATGTCTGAATAATAACATTTTTTTCTGGTAACTTTCCCAAATCATTTTTTAAATATAAAACTAAGAAACATGGAGGATGAATCCATTAATATATTTGAAAACCAACATATTTATAAGCAAAGACATACAGGAAAACGTACACCAACAAGTATGGCTGGAATACGTTTAAGTATTCATATATACAGACGTTGCTGAAATACGTTGATTAAATGTATTCTTTTGTACATACAAACACTGTACTCATACCACGTTCCATTTTGATAATTTACCACCATGGAAATACTTGAAATATATTTTGAAAGTTAACGTGTATATATACTGTATATCAAACACTTACAGTACGGGATGATGATATACGCGTACAGACTTGTCTTGTTGAAACGAGATGTGTTGACAGTGTCCTTCGAAATGTTCAATTTATATAAAATATTATTTTGAATACCCATCGTTGTTGAACTTGGTCATGCCCTATCCTAGTTTCATTCTAGTAAGTAAACGTTTTCACGACAACAAATCAAGGCAACATGTAAAGGGTCGAGTTTTAACTGTGCTGCCCTCATGCAGCGGTAGATCCGAGGTACCCCCAAGTATTAGTTTGTTTCACAAAATTGCAATTATGTTTTTAAGAAACGTTTCTTTTTTGGAATTTGATATCACATTCAACTTTTATTCTGAGTTTGCTAATACATTTTTTAAAGTATTAAACACAATAGCCTTAAAAACATATTGCATTTTAACGTGGTTGTTCATGTGTTTGTCTTATGCAAATATCACTAAAAGTGTTGTCTTTCAAGATAATTAGTTGTTTGTAAACTATCTATAGTTGCCATTTTTAAGTACACACAGCAATAAGATACAACTATAGGAAGTGTTGTATTTGAGTAAATCGTTAAATTACTCAACTATTGATTTCAACATCACATTGTTTAATGTACTCAAATACATTAATTGAGTCGAGAAAATCCGTATGAGATGTTTTAACTGTGATATACAAACAAATTTCTAATTATATTAAACTATTAATCATTTCCATTGATTATTTGTTTTCAGTGATAATGGTTTTGTGTGCATAAGCTTTCATCGTAGGAACAAACACATCACCGAACTTCAGATTGGTAAGATATCCTGTTATAAAGCAAACTAGATATTCTTTATTAGTGTTTTAATTTATCTTTTACGTGCAAACTTGAAACTTTTGAGGCAAAGAAACTGAAAATATTTCAAATATTTGTAATCAGTTGTTATACGGGATGATTAACGTATCTGGAAGTTCGTTAATTACATTCAAAATGGAAAAGTTTTAAAACAAGAATTAAAAGTTGGGCTTGTTTTAAGATAATATTATTTCTGTGTATATTTGAAAACTTTCATTGAAAAAAATATATCTGTAAAGTCTTTATGGAAATATGTTTTGTCCTTAGTAAAATTAGAACTTCTGAAAAGTAAATAGTGTTGATATTTATGATATGAATGTTCTCAGTTTTTCACAATGACCTTTTTTTTATAAAGTATTTGATATTTACTATTTAAATAGTTATCTACTTTCATCTGCAACATTTTTAATTCTCTAATAATTCTTAAATATGGAAATTTCGTAAAAATATACTTCATTTGTATGAATTGCTTCTGAGAATTTTAAAGAGCATTCACAGCACTTTCAGTAAGCTCACAAGTTAGCTATATTGTGAAATAGAGAGTGTTAGTTACGTTATATTAAAACGATTTTAAAGTCTTACCACGTCGTTACAGTACATGTTGCCATGTCGACTCATGCTCTGTTTGGCGATCGTGCATCTTTACAACAGCTCTGCGGCGTAGTTTCCATTGAAAGAGCTCCATCGTAGAGTTATCATGTCCAAATCACACTACTCTCTCTTACATAATTTCCATAATACATCTGCTGTAGGATGACGATGGTTTCCAAACATTTGTTCCAACACTCCGGTCCCAAAGAAATCTAAAGAAGCTGAGCCCGGCGTGACATGAAAGCTTTCGTTTGGAATAGCATGAACACACGTTTCACTCTTAGCCATTCTGAAGTCCACTATATGAACATGTAATGAGAGGAGTGTGTGAATATTTTGCGTCGGAAAGAGCTGTTAAATGAATTTCTCAAAAGCGATCGTTTTTCGATGGCATCACTACCATCACACTATCTAAGTAGAAACAAAAATGTTGTTGTGGTACATGCCATTCAATCGTGACTTTACATCAGCTTTGGACGTCACATGAATTCTATCGATGTGGTATCCCGCTTTGAAATCATTAATAGTTAAACAGCTTACTGCACAGTTTTCAAAATAATGACATTTATAGTCCTAAGTCATCCATACATTATTCAATAGCGGTCTGTTTTTCGTAAATAATCAACCAAATAATCAACGATTGAAAATATCAAAGGGGAATGAAAACTCTTGGTAGAATGATTAAAGTATACCGCACGAGATTTAAAAGCTTTGTATAGTCCTGTTAAAATTCAGAAGGATCTGACGGCTTATTTAAAATACGATCATTATATATATTTTTTAATTTTGAAAATCGGACAGTAATCATTTTGAAGATAGATAAAAATAATAATAATACTTCGAGCATCTCATAGTAAAATAAGCCTAAATATAAAAAACTAACTGTAAACGATAAGGAAAAATAATCAAACTATTTATAATTTACAATCCAATGGCAATCTATTTCACACATGGGTTATTTGAAAATTTCTAAATAATTTCAAAAATCAGAACTTATTATCTGAGACAAAAAATTAATAAAACTTATAATTTTATAGAATTTAATCAGAAAATGCAAATAAAACCCTGAGTTAGCAGAATTCGAAACTTAACTAAATGGAAAGAAAAATTCACCGTTCCAGCCTAAAAAAAAAAATTTCAAACATACAACATTCGTTTCAATTTAATAGATCTCGTATAAAATTATAAAAAAGTATTTTCTAATTAAACCAAAATAGCTCATTAAATGATAGATTATAAACATGAAAATGTTCATCTAGGAAACTTCGCTAGAAGAGTTGAAGACGCTTGTCTCCCCCCAGTCCATGTTCCTGGTAGCCAGGAGTACATTACTTTAGTGAGTGAGTACCGATTTAGTGAATTTGGGGGATAATTATTACGAAACTTAGTCTGTATAAGCTTGGAATATATATATATTGACGTATTATGTGTGTTAATAATGCTATACGGGTATAAATGGTGTGAATATTTACGACGTACGAACATTATTAAAGAATGAAAGAAATATTAGCGTTAAGTGACCATACATATTACATAATATTAGCAAAAATATATTTCCCAGATGTTCTGCATATATTACATAACGTCGTTTCACAACATACGATTGATGTGACGACATAGTATTGTTGGGAAGATTTACTAACATGGAAAGATCGTAGATATTACAGCATCATATTGATTTAGAGACACTAGTGTAAGAGTGATTGTTGATATTACAACATATTATTGATATTCAGCTATACCAGCGTAGAGTGATATCAGACAATACAGTGAAGCTCTGGAGTAAAAACATACAAATGTACACTGAGTGGTCACAAGTAAATAGACACCTAATTTTTCGTCATCTAACTGATTTATGCTAACTAATTTGTGTTCACAGAGCACTATATAAATGAAAATGATCCGCACACTAATTATCTTGTGCTACAACGTGCCTAGAACTCAAGGTTCTCTCGAATTGTCAGATTTTGTTAGAGGAAGGATAATTGGTCAAGCAAATGGTGGAATAAGTCAGCAGCAAATTTCGCAGAATTCGGGAATCCCGCTTTCGATAGTCAACAGAATCATCGTGCAGTTCAGGAAACATGGCAAGGAAACAACTGAGCAGCGTCCGGGTCGTCCTGGTCCGTCGGAGAGGACAAAAAGGGCTGTCAAGAGGAGCATCGAAATGGGTCCCAGATTAACGACTGCAGAAGTGGCCAAAGTTGAAGGGATGAACCCGAAATCTGTTCAACGGAGTCTCCACAGATTGGGTTATTGTTGCAGAGCAGCTAGACGGAAGCCCTTATTAAGACCTGCCAACATAGTCAGACGAAAGAAGTGGGCAAATGATATGATGACCAAGCCTCTGGACTTTTGGAAGACCGTATTGTTCTCAGACGAATCGAGATTCGCTAAATTTTCGGACAGTGGAAGGATATGGGTCTGGAGAATGCCTCACCAAGAGTTTTGGCTTAACAGATTGCAGCCAACTGAGAAGCATGGTGGCTTCAGCGTGATGGTTTGGGGAGCTGTTTGGGTTGGTGGGAGATCGAGCTTAGTGGAGTGCGTTGGCAATATAAATTTTGCGAAATACGTCGAGATATTGGAGGAAAGACTCTTGCCACTTTATTCCTCGGGTTTCGTGGACAAGAACTCAACGTTGTTCCAGGAAGATGGAGCACCGTGTCACACTGCTATAAACACCCAAAAGTGGCAGGAAGAAAATGGTATCCAGAAGTTGCCCTGGCCGAGCTAATCTCCTGACATGAACCCATTGAAAACCTCTGGGCCATACTCGACCGGCAAGTCAAGAAACAACCAAACAAACCAACTTCTAAGAGCGATCTACTCCAAGATTTGAAGCAAGAGTGGGCGAAAATCCCATAATCTAAAATTGACGAGATGATTCTCACGATACCCCAAAGGATCAACGAACTCCACGAAGCGAAAGGAAGATCTACTAGATATTAGTTAAATTATAAATATATCAATTCATGTGAATATGACTGAAAAATTTCATTTTTTTCTGAAAAGGTGGTGTCTATTTACTTGTGACAACGCTGTGTACAGAGTTTGAATGAAACAATAAAAAGCCGATGACAAACACAATAGTATACAGTGTCTATGGTTGTTATAACTTAGTATTGATGTAAAGACATGTTGTATTTATCTTAAATGGATGCTACAGATTCCAAGTGTACAATCTGATAAAAGGTGTGATTTCAGACTTTTGAGGAGTGAATTATCGATACAGGAGTTGCATTAAAAAATTGAATGTACACTCTTCGTAAGAAAACGTGATTTTACTCCCAAAATAGAATTATGAGATATGAAATGGTATTTTTTTTATGAAGTCATACTCTAAACAAATAAGCCTAATTGTTAGGCCCAGTAGTGGCACAGCGGTATGTCTGCGGACTTACAGCGCTAGAAACCGGGTTTCAATACCCGTGATGGGCAGAGCACAGATAGCCCATTGTGTAGCTTTGTGCTTAACTTCAAACAAACAAACCTAATCGTTAGTGCTCACATTTTGAAAAGTCGTCAAAAATTGTGTTAATAAAATTTTATAGTTACATTAATGTAAGTAATTTTAACGATTTTTTCTAGCTTGCCACTTTTTTTATTACATGACTTTCAATTATGTTTATAAATTCACACCTTTATACACACAAGTGTGAAGTTTTATTTGGTCTAAATTTACAAAAAGTGTACTTGTAATCATGGCTTTATTCTTAGAGTGATACATAAACTGCACAATATGGTATCGACGTTAAGGATCTCGTAACTAACTGTTCGCTGGTGTAGATTGCTGTTAATATTTAATATAAAACAATGGGCAAATATCAGAATAAACAGAACAGCACATATTTTTAGACATAGATTTAAAACTCTATATTCAGATGACACACTTTGCCATGAAAGTTATGGTATGTTTTAAAATTATTCATGAAACTTCGACTTTCGTATTTCGTACTACGATAAGTAATTTCAAAAGTTATCGATGTCCAAATTACTACATGCTGCATGAAAGGAAACACATATCAGAAAAACAAAACAAACTCGATGTAGACACTCTTCGATCCTGGCACCATTGTCAGGTACTGTTAAGATATTTCGATGTCAGACTCCACAAACCTTCAAAGATATCTGTAGTCTGCGTTGTTTTATATTTTATTTGTAGAATAAGCTTTGTTTAGAAAAAGCGTTGTTTACTAATAATATGCCACTTTATAAAACCTCAGAAATTTAATGAAATACCCGTTTTCTCTAATATTGGACTTTAACGATATGTGTGCATAAACAACAGTGATCTAGTTAGTTTTTCAGGATATCACAGAAGTTTAAATAGCAAACAGGAAGATAGCTTTTTCACAAATGAAGAAATACAAAAAACAAAATCACGGAGTTAGTTTACGTAAAGTATTACACAAGCTAGGGAGTCAGGCATGGCAGTTGACTTAGTTTAAACTTCTCACTCAAATATCTGCTTATTTACCAGGACGTATTTGGTGCCAGTTTTTATTTTTTAAGAAAGATGCAGATATATATATTTCTTTTCTTTTCAACCCATCAAAAATTATAATTGGGTTAAACGTACATTATTGCTGATTTTCGGTCAAAATTGATAAAAGAAAATATTCCCACATGGACAGTTGTGTGAGAGGCATTGAAGCTTAATTTTAATATCTGAAATAATACTCGTTTTACAATGATGTAAAAATAGACTTTGACAGAAGCACAATTTGTACTTTTTCCGAAGAATGAGACATAGACGTGTTTAATATTTCATGACGTTCTACGGTAATTTCTATTCAGATTAGTTTGAACTTTTATATGTACTTTGCTACAAGTAAAGAAATGATAACAATGAATTATCAAAGGTTATTTATAACGTTCTCAACCTCTTTAAAATATCCAGCTTCCACGCCTCATACTAACCTGTGTCCAGCAGTAGCAGAAACCGATGGTCTTCGCGTAGAGACAGGAAAACTTAGCTCCTTGCCTGAAAAGTGCACCCAATACTCCACAGCCGTTGTCGGTTGCAGGAATGACAACACCTTGGAATTTTTGACGAAATGTGCATCATATCGAGAATTGAAACGTGAGATTATTTTGATATTATTTTGTACAGAAGTAAAAAAAAAATTAAATCCATCTATCTTTGAACATTATCACCGCAACTCTCCGACATCAAAATCGACAGTTTCTGTTTAGATATTAACATTTGGATATGATTTCCAGTTAAGCACGTTGTGGAAACTCTCGTGAACTTTTTCAGCTGTCCTTCAAATATGTTTTACTGTTCGTGTACTCCACGATTCTATATTTTTTTTTCATTACCCACATCCAATTTGAAACATGTCATATTGTTGTATTTTTGTTCAAACTCTGATTCCTTATATAATATTGTTTGTTGTTATTTATATGTAATATTCGATGCATTACATCAGGCGATAAGTGTTAAAGAAATCAACCGTTTGTCTTGAAGAAACTTATTGATGCTACAGTAATATTGTGAACATTAACCAACATTTAATGTTATTATCTTAATCACAGTGGGCACGAATAAGACAAAAAAGTATAAATATTTTTGTGTTCAAATTCATATCACCACCACAATAAAAGCATAAGCAAGTTACAAATGAGAAGCACTGATCTTTCAGTAATTCTGAATTCAACAGTGACTAATGTTATGAAAATTTTTACTTGTATTTATGTAAGACATTTTTGTCAGCATTTGTTATGACGCCGCGCAAGCAACTACATTTGTTACCTCCGCCACCTAAGGTGGACGGAGGTTATGTTTTCACCCCTGTGCGTGTGTATGTTTGTTTTTGTGTTTGTCAGCAAGATTTCCCGAAAACAACCTAATAAATTTGGACAGTAATCCATTAGAAGTAATTAGTTTTTGGAAATTTCAGGGTCACGAAAATCCAAAAAAATCACTATTTGTTAACATAGGATTTGGATGAAACTTGGTGTAGATATGTAGATTATTATTCTTAATTTTTCTGCCAAAAATGTCCGTTGATAACGACGGACGTACGGACACATTTTCGTATTTTTTGAAAGCCGAATATGATCAGTGCTGCATGGCGGAGGTATGGGCTTTACTGAGCACCCTCTAGTTCTATTTGATATCACGGATTCAAAATGATGTGATGAAATGTAAGATATGCTAAGGCCTTCTTCTTTATGCTCATATAGGACGAGTCTTAAAGCACAATTTCCTTTGTAATTGCATGCATTTTCACAGAAGTTATTTATCTGCTCAATATAAGACAATTTTATGTGAATTAATCTGTACAATTTACGATATAAGAATCAAATCGTATATTATTATGGGATTGCTTAACATGTCATACTATGAAGATTAATGCGCACGGATCCCATAAAATCAAAATAAGTAGACTGTCCAAAAATATCCAACACACCTTGACCATCCACATGATTTACTCAACACACTCTAAAAAGGAATTTAGTGAATACAGTGACACGTCACATAAACAGATTAGTAGTGTTGAAGTATGTGCAATATGCCAAATGTTGTGAACTGCATGAATCTGAGAGAAAATATTAATTTTGAGATACTTGAAATATATAAGACTGATACGTGAAATAGTCGTAATGTCTGATTAACAGAGCATGCTCTGATTCAGTGGTGTCGGACTGCCTAGAACAAGTTGAATAATACAAAAAGTGACAAACATTCGCTATTTAGTATTGTAAAAAAGGGGCCCAAAATTACTTATCAAAACCTTTGAGATATATTTACTATAGTTAATGTGTTCACATGAAAACTGGCATCATTTGTGAGGTCTGTGAATTGTGTTCTCCATTTTACAATATATACAGATTCTTTAGAAATGCTGGAATAAGCAAAGAATAAATTACCCCAACAATGCTAGACATTATTTTATTTGGTATTGAGTCCATCAGGATGGAACTTTGACGGCTGATTGAAAATTTGCAGAGGGAGGAGAGCTACTTTTCCTAGTTTTGATGAGATGTACGACTATATGAACAAAGGAAAATAAGAGTACAGTTTGACTAGATTGTGAAAAACAAGCTCTGAAGAATTATGGCTGGGTTTTGTGATGTTGGCTGCGTTATGTACATGAGATATTTGATTTTTCCTTTATGTAAGTTTAGGTTCTTTAGGATATAACACCGAAACTTATTTGAATTTAGACATCGATCTAATTAGTCCCTATCAATTGCACAATGATTACAAACTACTTTCGAAATATATTAGAACCAGCTTCAGAGAATGTATTGCGGAAAAGCAGCAAGTATTCAGACTAAGGACAATTCTACACCATAGCAAAAAGTAACCACTATGACCCTATGTATTTGTGATTTCGCCAAGTCGCTGTGTATACAGTATATGCATATATGTGTGTGTGTGTGTGTGTGAGTATCTATGCATACAATTAAAATGTTTCGATTTTGTAATAGTAACCTGAACATTATATGAATCGTAGTAAACCCTTTTAATTCTATTTAATTATAAACTTCAATGATGAAAATTTTTGATATTTTATCGCCTTTATAAATCCTTCCAAACAAAAACTTTAGAAAAACATTAATGTAATTTTATCAGTTATTGATCCTGGTTTACGAAGGTGTTGGTGTGCCCTTTCTCATTTTACAAAGAATAAGTTCACGTTGTTTGCTGTCTATGCACTGTATTGATTTTTCTTTTAAGACTGTATTTGGCATAAAGGAGCGATTACTTTTTAACGGTGGAATAAGCCAGTATTACATGATACTACTAAGAGTTAATGGCTAGTCTTCGCTCTTTCTCATTATGGAAACATATTCTTACTTTCAAAATTAATCCGTTTCTTCTGGCCTTTAACGACCAAATCTTTTAGGAATTTGATCGTGAGCTCGGTTTTCACCCGTGAGCTTTTAATTAGGTGTAATGAAGTGTTCATAGTTTAAATCTTTCACTCGTGTGTTATTTAACACAATGAAGCGAAGGTCTTTACTCATCCAGTAGGCTGTGAATGTTCGGTGGCCAAAACGTTACTCGTGCCTACTTATGATGCTTTAAAAGTATTAAAGCTAAAGTTTAAACTAGAAAAAAAGCTACTGCACATTAAAATCAAGCTACGAGTTTTCTTGTCCACAAAGGACAACTAAATTTGCGTTAGTCAAATGATGTAAAGTTGGCAAATAATTATACTTTGAACCATGTATATTTTAAAAACTCTTATTGTATTTTAGTTTAATATTATTTGAGAATATCAAGTGGTGAATGACTTTTATTAAATAGCATGTTTGTTACACACTAAAAAAATATATACATTTCCTTGAATATCTATTTGACCGTATGTAATATTATTACTCAAACAGTGAGCTCAAGTAATTTGTGAAAAATATTGTAATTTGTCTCGTGCCTAAAAACAAGAAAGTCAGCTAAAATATATCGTTCTGAAGTTTTCCGATATTATGTGAAGAAGTGAGAAGTGAAAATTTAAATGGTTTGAACACAAGTCTTTTCTTATCGTACAATTGCTATAGAAAGCAGATCTTTTATATAATAATATAAATAGTTTAAACCACTCAGAACGTTTCTCTGGCTTAAATATCGTTTAATGTCCGTCTTTAAGAAGTCAAATAGAAGCTTAACACATTGAATTTTCACTTTGGGGGGGGGGGACTTACAGCTTCACACGACCTGTGTATCCCTTAAATTGCGTTATATTTTATTTCTTTATGGAATTTTGCGCAAAGCTTCTCGAGGACTATCTGCACTGTCTGTTCCTAAAGGGAAGGCAGCTGGTTAACACTATCCACCTCCAACTCTTGGCTACTATTTACTAACGAAACGTGACCGTCAAATTATAACGCCCCCACAGCTAAAGGTGTGAGCTTGTTTGATGACGAGATTTAAATCCGCAACTCAACCATCAGGTCATGCCAGGCCTTAAAATTTCTAAAGGTAAAGTTAGGATTAGGTTTACCTTTCACTTTGTCTTGATTTTCAATCCTACTGTGTGAAACTAAGTAACGGAGTTTGTATTATTTTCAGCTAAAAATATGTATTATATAGAAACTAAGACTTCTGCGAAATTAATTATACATAATCATCTGCAAATTGCACTTTAATTTAGAACATCGACGGATTTTACGATATTTAAATCATATCGTTAACAGCAAAGGTACCCTACTGATAAAACAAGGTATTATACGTAATAATGTAAGAACGGTATACTTAATTATCAATTTACATTGCTGGTTTGATGCTCAGTTCGCATATATGCAGACAACTCGCTGTGATCTAAAGTTAAGAAACGTGGTTATTAAAGATTGATCTAAAGACTGTAAAGTGGAAAAGAGAAAAAATAAATAGCATCTGCAGTGAAGCCTGATTTTTGTCACCAATGTTGGGTATGTTAGTTTCAATGTTTCACCAATGTTAGGTATGTTAGTTTCAATGTTTCACCAATTTTCGGCGCTCATTATAGCCACTACGAGCTACGTTATATACGGTAAATGTTTGTGTATTTCAATAATCTTATATTACTGTGTGAGATAATTCTAAACTTTCTATAATCCAGAAGCTGAGCGATTTCTTTTTGTTTAGATAAATTAATATTTCTTTCAAGGTGTATGTATTATATATGTATATAACGTTTTAGACAAAGTTTTGACTGTCCTAGTTCAGACCAGCAGACAGTCTCTTGGGTAAAAACCTGAAACACTGTTTGCACATCTCGGATTGACAATGTTTGTAATGGATAAGTTGGTTGGAGTGTGAAACAAACATCTCCGTTAAATTGTGATTTGTGTCTTGAATGTTAGTCATAATTCTATAGATATTTTCTTATTTTATTGTTTCTACAATTTCAAAACTCCTGATACGTGTAACAAAGAAAGCGGTTTCCGAAATAAATTTTAGTACCTGAATTATATTATAAAAATATGATAATTTTTGCACGTTTAAGATCTGAATTGTCAGTTAAAAATCAAGCAACTAAAAACATTTACTTTTCATTAGAACTACAAAGTTAATGGAACCGAGCGGTGCCCAATGGTTAGCGTGCCGGACTGTGGGTCTGAGGTTGCGATGCTCGCACCTAGGGGCCGTGGGTGCCTCATAAGAGTGACGGTCAAATCCAACTATTTGGTTTGACTAGAGTAGTCCAAGAGCCGCATTCTCTCTAGTCTATCACTTCAAAATTAGAGACCCTAGAGAAGCCTTACGCAAAATTCAAGAAACAACAAAATTGACTGTTTTATACTTAAAATTTATTGATATTTTGAAAAAAGTCTTTTATTATATATATGTACGTACAAATAACGTTTTTTTTAGGATTCCAATGTCATGGAACTTGGGAAGAAAAAGGTCGAACTTATCTAGTAACTGGACTGAGAGAATCACGACGCAAATTCTGTTTTGTAAGTATTGTCTCATATTTAATGTTGTTCAATATTAGTCACTTCTTTTCTAGTCTTGTGTTATTGTTACAATTTCTAGTCATATATTATTATTATTACTATTTTCTAGTCATGTATTATTATTGCTCGTTTCTAGTCACATATTATTATTACTATTTGCTAGGCATGTATTATTGCTCGTTTCTAGTCATATATTATTATTACTATTTGCTAGGCATGTATTATTGTTACAATTTCTAGTCACATATTATTATTACTATTTGCGAGGCATGTATTATTATTGCTCGTTTCTAGTCATATATTATTATTACTCTTTTCCAGTCATGTATTATTATCCCTCTTTTCTAGTCATATTTTATCATTACTTTTTCTAGTCATTTATTATTATTACTCTTTTGTAAAATGAAAGAGTTATTTTCTTTGATATTCGATATAAAAAAAGACAGAATCCTCAATAGTCGCGGCTGTAATTAGATCTCAAATCGATCAAGAGATGGGGCTATGAGCTAAAAGTTTGAACGAGAAAACAAAACAACATAAAAACTCAGAACCATTCTATTAGCCAATGTGCCGCGGCTAATGAGTATCACGATATATAAATAAAAATATTACATTTATACAACGGTATCAATAACAAGCGATTTTTAAAAGCCGGAGACAGTAATATTTTCTTAAGTGTTTAGTAAGTAGATTTATAAGTATTTTTAGACGTTCTTCAAGATATACTTTATAAGACCACTAATAATTAGAATTGTTTGACAAAAGAGCTAACTGTGATACAGCGAGCTCCCCAGTAGATTAGCGGAATTTTAGGGTTCGATTCCACGTGGTGGACAGTGTGAAGATAGCACTTTGAGTATATTTTTGCTAAAAAAAAAGAAACTCAACGAAATATGATGAAGAGAAATCGTTGAATTCAAATCGGTCTGTTCCATTTTCACTTGTGGTTTACAGTATGTTTTATGTTTTTTTATTGTAAACTACGTTTGATCAAAAGAGGAAAGGTTCTAGAATGTTCGTTTAGATTAAAAAGCGATTAAAAAATCAGGCCGTGTACTACCAGCTCACGAGATGAACCTTAAGGTTCCGCACAGATTCGGGGCTACCTACTTAACCGAACTAAATTGTTTTGCATTTTCATCATTATTTTCCAAAAGAAAACTTAGCTTAATTATAGAGAAACTTTCCAGAATTGTAAACTGTCAGTTATGTGACTGAACCAGTGTCATACTTTTCATAAAAAATGTTATCATCATAGACACGGTCATTTTGATCAATTTTATATAATATATAACAATGACATTTAATTTATAACGCTTGAACTATGTGCTTGACAAGATGACAAGGAACAGTGATTAAATAATTTATCAGATACTTTCAGTGTTGTTTTTTTTTGTTGTTGTTGTTGTTGTTTTTGTACTAAGAAATTAATGGTTTAATGCTTTGATTTTGAAATCAGTTCTTCAGGTAATATAAATTTATAAAATATCAGTGTTACTTAGCGTGGAGATTACAGTTAAAACCTTTCACGTGATACTATAGTACTTTAGTATACAAGTGAAGCAAAAGGTACTTGAATATAAGTAAAACAATTAGAATCACATTTCATAATTGGTCACAATAAAGTGTTTTACCTACATATCCCTCGCCTTGTATTTTGATTTTCATTGTATGCACTAAGTAAAACAAAAGCCTATAATAGATTTCAATAATTATTACACAGTTTTGTTATATTGTTGCTGAACAAAAAATAAATTGCTAACATTTAAGTTTTATACATAATACAATATCACATTGGTCGAAACAAGAGACAATGAAAAACAAAGGTTTCCCAGGAGAAGCCTAATTATCTTCTTAAACTTGGTCTTGTACTCAGCTCTTAGTCGTTCCCCAGTGGCGCAGCGCTAAGTCTGCGGTGGGAAGACCACACACAGTCCATTGTGTAGCTTTGTGCTTAACAACAAACAAACAAACAGCTTTTAGTCTTCAACCAAAACCTCCGCAGAGAATAGGAATCAAAGTTCGAGTTGTTGTACTGATTCATATTATTAGCTCATGAAAATGTATCAGTTGAACAAGCTGCAAACATTAATACTATTCAAATACTCTTACAGTAATAGTTAGACATATATATTCCTATGGAAAGAGCCACGTGGTTTGTTTAATAAAATGACATTTAATCCTATAACTAAACCGAAACAGATATTTACGATATTTAGCAATTTTCATTTTAAAATTTGGTAAGTTCGAGGTAAGAAGTACCTTGGTAAGTCGTCGGTAAGGTTTGCGGATTTACAACGCTAACATCCGAGGTTCGATTCTCTATGGTGGATAAGACGCAGATAGCCCATTGCGGCTCTGCGCTAAAAACAAACAAACGAACAAACCAAGATATGAATTACCTATAGATGATTTCAACTAGAAACAACTGTAAAGAAGATGCTTACATTACGAACGCTAATTAGCTTTTGCTTAATAAAATTTTGATGATAATCGTATTTTTTTAAAAACAGTGTCCAACGTTCCGTGCTACCCTCGGAACTGAAATACTTCCACCCATTACTGATAGTGCTCATTGTACCCAAATACCAACTTTAAGCAGATCAATGGCATAGAAGACCATTGAGGTTGCATGTGGTACTTCAAGGGTATGTGGTCAAATGAGATTGCTGTGATTCTGACTTATTATAACGACCATCTTTTTTTCGAAAAACAACATTAATTTCTAAGCTTTACTGACTATTTGTTTGTTGTCTTACCTAAATGAGCCATAGGATATTTCCAGATTCATCGCAATGTCTCTTTTTCCTGGATAAGTTGATTCTATGTTTTATCCACTTTACGGATGAAGGAGTTACAAAAGATTGGATTGGGACGTGTTTTGGAGCCTTTGGTTATCCTAAATGTTTTTCTGTGCATGTTTTTCACTTCCATGGAAAACATTGAAGGTTCCATTCTTGTGTCTTTTTGGTCTACATCAGTTAACAAGCTAACAAGGAATATCTAGAAACCGGAAGTGGCTCTGACATTTTCACATGGTGCCATTGCACTGCCGAATGATCGGGAATTCGTCATGAACCAAAAATATATATATGTGTGTTTTAGACCTGCCCTTCGTGGCACCAGGATTCATATTTGGGGCGACACCTTACTGCATTACCATATGCAATTCTTTCAATAAAGTGCGAATATCTCGCTCTCTGCTACTTGATATAGTTTTTCAATAAATAAGTAATATTTAGTGATTTAATTTTCAGTTTCCAATTCTTCAGATGTGTAAATGGTATGCCCATAACCAATCAACTTGAATTTGATCAACATTTCCAGAAGGAAAAAAAAAAGAGTTGGATAGCTGAAGTTTCATTACATTCTTCGATATATAATGTTCAGCTAATGACAGTTAAACTTCTTCAGCTTAAGAGAAATTGGTATGTACCACTAATGCCTAAATTACCGGAAACAGTTAGTCTCGGAAGCTTTCGATTCCATTGCAACGTCTTGAATTACTGGTAACGACCACGAGGCAAATTCAAGGCTGTAGATTACTCTGGCTTGTGATCGACCCATTTGTATGTCGTTTCAGAATAAGTAGGTGATTTGATATTCTAAGAGCCTAAAAAGCTTCATTACCATGCCTCTTTCTTCGGAGCCGTTCTTTAATCAGGTAATGGATGACTTGAAGTGGTGGCGGTCATTTAAGTAAAAGCCCAGACTATCTTAATGAAGAACTCGTGAACCAGACCTTTAATTAGCTTTCCTTTCTTCATATTCTCTCCACCCTTACATCATTTTAATGAAAGTAAAATCGTCAAAATATTTTTTACTGGTAGATAAAACCAAAAGCAGTCAATATTTGCTTGCTGAAACGTCTTTTGCTTTGCTGCACTTATTTTACACATATTAGATAAATAGGATGTGAGATAGTTGTGTTATGAATTTGGTGAAAATAAGTTGATATTAAATCACATAAAAATATGTCTTGAGTACATTGTAGCTTATTTTATTTTTGTGTAAGAACCACTGAATTTTTAGATACGATAATTTATAATTTATTGTTTTAATCATCATTCTTATGCAGCGAGAATTAATATATACGTATATATATATATATATATATATTACATTCATTACAATATAAAAACTATCTCTTAGGTGTTCTCATCTAATTCACGAGTGACCCGGATGTCAGGTTTACATGATACTTGTTCTCGTAATGTTCAACCTGGTATTACTGGGAACCTAACCTTCAACATTACGGCAGCAGGTAAGGTAACAGAGAGTTAAAAATAATATGCAAACATAAAAATAAAAAACTAGTCTGAAATTAAGTATTTAAAAAAATAATAAAGAATAAATATTAATTTACTGTTTAGGTGGTAGCTCCAAAGAAGTTTTTACTTTTTTTACTTTTGTTTTTATGAATTGTTTGTAATTTGAAATATTTGTAGACAATACGTTTTCATGACAATATTTCAATAGCTTTATCATTATGTCTAACATTTGCCTAATATTTAGAAGGAATTATTATTCTCAGTAGCTCACTAATTTAACTTTAATTTGTATGAATATTTCAAGTCATTCAAAGGAGTCGTCTTCAAATACTTTGTTTTAAACTATCTAAAGATGTTTTACTTGAATAAATCGATTTATATAAGAAAATAGCAAAACTTATTATTAGGATAAATGACTTTGAGAATGAGCTGCTGAAATTTGTCTTTGATATTGTCCAAAACAACTGTCTATGGTGTACTTTTCATCAGATATTTGTGAGTTTTTATAGGTTTGGTTTATGTGTTCCTCTAATGTGGGACATTGTTTCTTGTTTTTACAAAAAATAATAAAAAAAACAAAGTTTACTCTGAGGAAAAGAATTCTAAACCATCTGCTTATTAAAGTATGGGCTAAAATATACTCACTCTAAAATACTACTTTTTTAATGTGTTTCCTTTAAATATCGAGAAATCTTTCAGCAATTTTGAATTCAAAGTTGCGGATTTTATAGACTAATGTATGTCATTTCCTTTTTCAACCATTTTCTCTCAGGAGATTGTGACTATACCCTAAACGCAGTCACCAGTCTATCGTATTCGGGAAGCCTACTTTTTGCTATATTTTTAGTTCTTACGAGAAATAGTCGGTGATTGGCTTGCCAGGGATGTTTCATGTGGAAGCTTTCGATGCGTTTACCAGGAAACTAGGAAAGACTAGAAGATCATTTAAGTGCCTCTTTGTGAAGTCCCTCTCACGGTTGCTAGACAAACTTCCGAACAGTGAATAGTCTTTCACAGCACCTTGACATATTTTCAGAAGATGCGATAAAGTCAGTTAGTGACATTTAATTTATTAAGATTATAAGAATTGTGAACACAGAAGAATACTTAAAACTAATTATATTTATTGTAAAATAAAAAGTGCAATCATTTTGGAGGCTGTGTTTAGTGTTAATATCAAAGACCAGAATGAAAAAAAAAGATTAGGTAAAGGATATATTTGTATAATTGTATGTGTACATGTAAGTGTATGTATATTTCGATTAACCTACTCGTTTTGTAGGTAAAAAAACCCGATGATATGGATTTGTTATTGAAGACTTACATAATTTTATTTTAACAAACAATGGATCACCTTCTTTACCATGTTTTGTTCTTGCTTATGACAAAAGTACATCTTAATTAAGAACATTGACGAAGAACGTTATGTGATTAAAACTCAGTACATTCCTTTTCTATAACAAACACACAAAACTTTTTTAAAGGCCTAAATGCTTCACGGTAATATATATATAAATAAATCTACAACATTTATTATCAGAAACGTAGTTGCAACTACATGCAAACATACACACAAATGTACATGTATAGTACATATATATGTAATGGGAGAGATTAAAACAATTAAAATTTCATTCATTTTGAAATAAAATGTTATATGATATTTATTGCTCATTATATAATGACTGTTTCGTGACGGTATCTGTGTAGTTTATCAGAAAGAATTGTTTTTCAAAGAGAACTTTTAGGGGGTTGAACGAATCATCCCTGCTTTGAAATGTCTTGTACTTGCTTTAGAATTATGTAATTTTAAATCTTTATTGTGTGTTAAGGTTTCTTTTTTTCAAGCACTTCAGATTCCCAAGTCATGGGTTCAAACCCTGTCGCTGTAATCCGATGTCTTTCCGTAACTCACGAGTAGCTGTATAACTCCTCTATTTTGTACCAAGCAAAAAAATAAAATAAAAATCAATAAAAAATAAATAATCAGCAGATTTAGAATATGTTCTAAAGTGTATTGTTTTTCTGTACTTCTATTAATTCATTAAAATATACAGTTAATCCCCAAGTTTTAATATTTTGATTTTTTCAACCTAGATCTCCTTAGCCTCTCCAGACTGCTCAGAAATTATAAGAAAATATGTACGAATATTTTGTTTAACGCATTAACTTTCAGTGAGTCAACTTTAGAAGTGTTTATGTTTCTACACAACTTCATGTATGTTCTGCTTATTGCGTCGTATAATCTCTAGACATTTCATATAACAGACAACTAATATAATTAATAGTTTCCTTTTGTGTGTACTCACTGATTATAAATATTGTTTTATTGCAAGTTACAGCTTTTACAACAAGGAAGAATATTTTTTTTAGAACAGGTACGACGTTTCGATCACTGGTGTTATCATTCTCAAGAATGGAGATCGAACGTCGTACCTGTTCTAAAAATATTCTTCCTTGCTTTAAAAGCTATAATTTGTAATAAAACAGTAACTAATACAACTGTTTAATGTTTATTATTGACGCCTAAACTAAAAGAAATACTTTTTCATTTCATTATCTTTAAACTTGCAGTGAACTTCACCACTTGGAAGAAATTTTGAAATCTCAGACCAAAAATAAAACAAAATTCGTAAATGAAATAAAGAAATCATAGTTATCATCATTTTTATTACGTATTGCGTAATTGACACATTGTAATATTTTACTGCATCGTCAGTAAACATTGTTTCTACGCGTAAGGTAAAAATTGTTAAGTAATATAATTTCAATGATAGTTCCTTTATATAAAAAAAAACTCAACTGAGGTGCGTTTTGTTTTATAACATCATATATCACATACTTTTATTTTGTGCTATAATTATAAACAATGTTATGCCTTGACGAATTGGTGGTTTCCGAATGATTGAAGAATAGCCGGTGGTATGTAAGTACCTGAAGTGTAAAATTAGCAGAAAGAAATCAATGGTGACCGTTCGCGTATTCTTTACAACCAGATCTTGATGATATAGACTGGAAAAAAATGGTGTACATGTTTACATAAGTTATTGATAATATCTATACTAACAAAACTAGTGAAAAATCGACATCAAGAAGTTTCTCTGAATAAGAACAACGCACTTGCTTGAAGTTACTGTTTTCTGTTATTCCAAGTTATACAGTAACGCTATAATGATGCAGAAAACTATATAACCATTTACTCATTTGAGGTGAGATATGGTAACCTTACAGGATATGGCAGCGTTCAGTCACAGGCCAATAAACTTGGGAGCATAGAAGTTTTTATATTTATTTATAGTTTGCATCTATATAGTTCTGGGCTCTTTAATAGAGCATTTAAAATTTGCATATAACTAAAATTGTATATTCTAGTAAAGACTGTACAATAATGTCCAGATTCCTTATTTTTCGCCAAAACCCACTGAAAAACAAAACCAGTTCAGTCCTTTTAACATGTGAGTAATGTAGTCACGAACCGGAATTGTACGTTTGCTGGTAAGAATACTAGCAAGAGGCAGTTTTGATCAATCTTGGCATACTAGCATTCTTGTAAGAACCACTCACATTCCTGCTCAGTTTTAAAAATGGCAAATGTTATGTCTACATAGCGGAAGTAAACAGCAGGTCTGGTAACTTTGTTAAATAGTTCTTTTTCATGGAAACCAACGAAAATATTGGCTAGGGCAGGTCCAAGAATTCCTACACAATTTACACATCCTTCAGTAGGTCTGTGACATTTCCTGATTGGTTAAAGGACATGCCAATCAGTGATTGTCGTACCGGCCTATGTTGATCTGACTCATTTTATAAGCTGTACTATTTCCTATAGATCATTTTCCAGACGGTTCTGCTATGATTAGTGTCTGGCGAAAAGCTTCAGCAGATATTTCTTTTGCAGCATCTCAACCAATAATTGGTCCAGTTGTCAACGATATTTTCAAGTTTTGAACAACTCGACTTTCAAGATCTACGTATCGACATGACCCGATGTTTCCATTTATCAACGTTATATTTTAAGATCTGTACAAGATTTGTTTGTTTTTGAATTTCGCGCAAAGCTACACGAGGGCTATCTTTGCTAGCCGTCCCTAATTTAGCAGTGTAAGGCTAGAGGGAAGGCAGCTAGTCATCACCACCCACCGTCAACTCTTGGGCTACTCTTTTACCAACGAATAGTGGGATTGACCGTCACATTATAACGCCCCCACGCCTGAAACTGTGCAAGAACTCAGCTGACATATGTTTCCGTATATAAAAGCTATCGTCAAGTTTTGTACAACAAAAAACCTTTTCAAGTAACAGGATACTGTTACCAAATATTTAACAACCACGGCTAATATTTCTTTCACTTCCAATTTTAAACGTTTATGATATTTATAGAGTGAAAGGGATCTCTTTTTTTTTCGGATGTCAGTGCTCGTACTAGTTTGCGCATTTATGATCAAGATTATGGAATCTTAGTTTTCTTTCCAATAACACTATACTTGGAAGAGATAGCTACTGTTATAAAATTTACTTGTATTTTAAATGGTTGATAAATTTACTTTAAACGTCTATTCATTAAAAAAACGATATATATATTGATAAAATGGTCCCTGAAATATATGAAAAATCACTTTTGGTAAATATCAATAGGGTAAAAGTAAAATAATTTACGAAAATGAAAAATGCGCTGAAAATAAGTTAAGAAAGCTGTTTACTTTTACAGGACAAAATTCAGCATTTCATAATGAGATTGTGGAGTACGTATTTCTAGTTATATATTGCGTGTAGATACATGGAATGCTAACCTAAAAGTAATATCTATCTAGTGATATTTAGAATACAGGCATGAATTTAGGTTTTAAAAGCTCTAATTTGTATCTGAACCACATGTTCCAATTACTGAAAAAGAGAAGAGGTTTTCATACTAAAACGTATGCAGTACATTGCCTGTACATTTAGATATTGCTTGACAAGATTGTAATTCGCAGTTAATGAAGCAAAAATCCATTTATAAGGATAGTCTGGTAATTGAGATTAAAACATTCTTACTTTGGAGTAAACCTAATGAATTGAATGTTTAGGCACATAACCTCATTGATATGTTGTTGGTGAAGTCCATAATTGGATGATTTTTCTAATCAAAATACTGTGGTTAATTTAAGTTGTAAAATTCAGCAGAGCATTGAAGTTCCTTTACAACTTAGTAGATTTAGGTTGTAATGTTGCAAGACTTTCACAGTAACGTTTATGTTACCAAAAATAGCATTTATCAATTTCTTGATATTTTCATTTTGGAAGCTAGAACATGAAACATCAAAGAATGCAAACTATTTTTTTCACGATAAATCTGTTTATTTGTTTTATATTAAAGGGTTCGTTATTATAGTTATGATTGTAAAACTGTGAAATGTGAAGGAGTTATACTTGCTGCGTTACACTAGAGATAAGTGGCCTTTGCAGTAACGATTACTGACAGATTTAAAAATAATTTCCAATCAATATAATTGTTGAAGAAAAGCGTATATGGAAATATCAATTCTAGCATGTATTACATTCCTCTATATAACCTTCTGTTAGAAAAAATAGCCAAAATACACTGTACAAAGGCGTTTCTTACCGTCTAATATCTAACCGATTTTAATATATAATAATATTATAATATATATAATATAAAATCATTTAAAAAATAAACATTATTTACCACCATCCGATATACATAGAAATACTATTAGCTCTCATACTATATCGTGATTGAAATCCTAAACTTTTCAAGGCTTCTTAAATTACGTATTTGTAGCTCTTAATAAACTTCGAACATCATTACTGAAATGGTACTTCAAGCCTCAATAATAATAATAATAAATCCAAAGTCGTAAAGGTAGTGTTGATACAGTTTACACGTGTCGATATTGAATACTTAGGATACTTTCATAAATAATTGATTTTCCCGAAACAATATAGTATTTGGTTACGTATATATTACTGTATACATAATATTCTCGAAAGAAAATTTACATAAAATTGTGTTACGTTTCTACAACAACCTTTGAACATTCCAAAAAAAAAAAATCACTTATACCCAGAGGTGCTCCATTCCCAGAACTTATAAACATGTATTAAGTCAGAACAGATCAAGTTACTAAAGGATCCAGACAACTGTGTGAACACGGGAAGCATGTAATTCAACAGAATGTATAGATTTCTGTTAGAACTAGTACGGTGTGCAGTATACGCTCAGTAGATATTTTTTATATTTCTTTCATTCTATTATTAGTTTGTTGTTGGATAGCTGTGATTTTTCTTGAAATAGATGCAACATTCTATTTCTATATAGATGTCGAAGTGAATGATATGTTTCCATCGTTATGTCGTGACAAAGATGTCACTTATCTTGTCACCACATAATAGCCTTTAGATTAATGTTGCTATTTAGTAACAACATCATGTTTTTTTTAAATGAATTCTACTTGTTTTGTAGCTAAACAATGGATTTAAGCTAATGCTTCTATCTTTTAACTATTTCATGATTATTAATTGAATGTTCCTGGCTTAATCATGCATTCTGAAGTATTTGATGACATTTAAATGAAACAAAACCATTGTTTCGCTACTTTAATACTTTCGAATTAAGTCATATTATTTTGATGCTACAAAATGACCTTTCAAGTAAAAGCTGTAGAGTTACTTCGTGTCTTTTACGTAAACATTACTACTGTATTGTTACTTTGAACTGAATACCACTGTGTTATGATATATGAATGTAATATAACCATCGTTTCGCTCCCTTGTAATTTTTGAGCTAAATTATCGTATTTTGTTGCTACGGAATGACTTTTAGAGTGAATATTATATCTTATAGCCACATCTAAGATTTACAAATTAATGCAACTGGTATTCAATTTAATCTTGAACTTCAAGTAAGTACTACTATACAATCATTACATAACGACGATAGCAGAAAACATAACTATCCTATCACTACATCATAGTTGTTGAAGTAAACAGGACTATCCTATCACTACATCATAGTTGTTGAAGTAAACAGAACTATCCTATCACTACATCATAGATGTTGAAGTAAAC